CATGTTCGTAATATAAAAGTTGTGCGACCTTACAGTAGTAGAGGTCGCACGGCTTCCACACACCTTACGATAATCGTATGATCGCGGGATTTCCCACGATTATCGTACGATTATCGCAAGGTGTGTGGGGACCTTTACAGAAGAGAGACATGCCCATCCCATTCACCGTGATATAAATTGAAATAAACGGAAGAAAATACAAAAAAGGCAGACAAACCAAACTGATATAAACGCACTTTCAAAGCACAGAAGCAGATGGTTAAAACTGGCAAAAGGAAAGAAAGAAAAAAAAAAAGCTCTCACTCATTCAGAACCGACAGATGCGAGAAGTTTAAAATATTGCTGCTTTAGGATACACAAAGACTGTCAGCCCAGATTGCGGGTTTGGGCCAGTCTATCAGTTATTAATGATCTTGAAGAACAGAAGTCCTAGAACACTGCTGCGAATAGGAAAAATTGTGTGACAGACACGGTGCTATGTGGGCTGCCAGTCTCCTTAGAGATGGAATAGAAATATGAAAGAAGTTATGATATGGTGAGGGCTATGGGATCCAGCATAAAAAAACTTTGTTTTCTTACTTAAGAGTCAACGAGACAGTAAATCAGACATGAAAGCCCAACCATAGCTCATTTTATTGGACATAAAAGTCCCATTTCAGGATAAGACCTCCCACATAAGGTAATTTTATTTGAAGGGGTGCATATTGCTGTATATTTCCTTACTAGTCTTTAATCTTGCATGGAATCTACAATCAACTCAATTATCTTGAAAGCAAGTGCATAAAAAAGCAGAGGTAAAGGACAGCCATCAAATGGAAATGTTCCTGCTTAGTATTAGTGCACAATTAAAGCACATAAGTACTATTTTATCCAGAAGAAATAACTATGAGGGTAAACAATACTTGTATACCGGTATGGTGCTCTGGATAACACTGGTGAAAGTTTAAATGTTTATCAAAGTGTTACCTATACAAGTTAATAAAAGTCAATTTAAATTGACCCTATAGAGGATTATACATTTAAAGTATATCTAAATAAAGGAAAATATAATATACTGTGGCCTACTAATCCTGTAGTGGTTTAAAATGGTTTAAATGGTGGTTTTGTTTTTTTTTGTTTTTTACATGGTGGTCCTATCATTAGCACACTTCCTGTTCTGGATGACATGAGATGAGGCTGGGCTTGGTACAAACTCAGTTTCCCCAAGCCTGCTCAAAACTCGGACCACCACAAGCTCCTCCGGACCCAATCTGTGGCAGCAGTTGCAGCAGGGGTGGTCTATGTCCCTTTGTGAAGAGAAACTGTGGGGCAGGGAATGCAACTCCCTGTAACTGATTGTGTCAGAAGGAGAGTGTGATGGTCAGAGTTTTGAGTAGGCTTGGGTGAACCGAGTTTGAACCAAGCCCAGCCTCATCACTAATGACAACGCTCACTCACTGTACTGCATCTATGGAGGTGCAGCATTATCAACCTAGGACAGGAAATGTATTAAGAATACATAACCCACCCCCTCTCCTCCACTTTGACATAGGGAAAGGTGCTCTGTAGTTCACAGAGGTATCCTGTGCAGTTTTGATGCTTGAGATAAGACTGCGGAGTGCACAACACAGACAGTACTAAGTTTCTGGCAGGATTAACCAGTTTGTTTGTTTTTTCACTTTTTGAACAGATAACAAAATACTTTTGATTGTATATTCAAAAGACCGAAAGGGAGAGGATATGAGAAGTTCAGGGTTAGGGTTTACATGCACTTTACTCTGTTACAGGATAAAATATTCTAAGTGACTGACAGAGCAGACAGCTTCACTAAGCAGTTTATAGATACCGGTAGATTTCCCTGTATGGAAGAAGGATGTAGGATAACCATTCTCAGCAGCAGAACAGGCTAAGCAAAGAAATAGAGAGATGAGGCTTGCAAAGTAAATAAAGCAAAATACAATATAGGATTATTATTACTAACATCTACACCTATTTTGTGATATAAATTTTCGTTTTCAGCAGTCAGTAATTTGTTTTATGCAAATGTGCAGTTTCATGATAATAACCCAAATCAGCTGAAATGAATGGGACTACAGAAGGTGTTGAAAATTGGATTGTATTTTATGACATATAAACAACTACATTTTCTTGGAAACAAAAACAGACTCTGTTCCAAATCTCTATTCATTAGAGCTATACCCTATATTTAAGGAGATCAATTCAGCACTTAGCCAACAAGGCAATGGAAAGAACTATAAACTAAAACATATTGTATTCTGATAACTGTGTGCGTTTAAAAAAAAGATCATAACAACTACTCAGGCACCCCTGGAAGTGTTAGTAATTCTCATCACTTATCATGAATAGCATAGTCCTTTCATAAATGTGGAGAGAATTATAAATAAAAGGCATGTCAAATAAAAAAAGTCAACAAATACAATCATTACAAGTATTAATAACATACAGTTTTTTATAAATAAATTAAGCAAAAGCTTAATGCAAGATTCTTGCACGGTAGTTCCTTAAGTACAGCTTTCGCTCCAGCAAGTAGAGTGATCAGCAAAGTAGCGACATCCTGAAATCTCATGAGACTAGGAGTCACAGGCAGCGATGATCTCACACTACATATATACAGCTATATAGACTAAAGGTACAGGAAGTGTACTGCCTTTTTTTCATGGCGGAAGATGGAAGATTTTTCAGGGTAATGCTTAGGCCCAATAAGCATTTCTAAAAGTTCCTATAATATAGCAATGCACTTAAGTGTGACATTTAGAAAACATAAGCATATGGTTTGTCTTTGCTGTTAATTAGGACTGTTTATGAGAAAATGCATCAAAATTGTTTTCGAAAAAGTATTCCATAGGAGTTTGAAGCCCAATAATCATCCAGTAAAAAGAACAACAATAAGAATTAACTGATGGATGCCCTGCCTATGTTCTTGAAAAGTCAAAACAAGCTTCCAGCTCACTGTGACCTTAATACTGGAAATCAAGTTACATTGAGACTAGTAACTTGATTTAATGGCTCTAATGCTTTTAATTTTCCTATCTACCCTGTAAAGTAGATCTATGGGGCCGGCACTGAGATGCAACCAAGACAGCCGGAGTAAAATCTGAACGACTTTCTTTTTCCCCGTTTAATAATTCCTAGAGATTGACTTACATAGGTCTGTATTGTTTTAATTTGGTTCACTGCTGTGCGTGATTTTCTGCAATTTGATTTTCGGGAAATCAAATTTTTGTATCAGTCTGGGCAGAAATGAAATAAAGAGGGTAGACTGGTATATAAAATAATTTCATTGTGCTTGGGTGAATTACGTCCACATCCTAGGCAGAGGAGGAGAGGGACATTGCACGGGTTTATGGAAAAACATTAAAATTTCAATCTACGACTGCTCTGAAATATACCTATTCATGTTTGCATCAGGAGTGATGTATGAGCAACTGTGACTATTGCCCATAATAATAAGCCAGCTCATCATTCCTAGCCATCTGCATACGTGGCCAGCACAAATATCTGCCCAGAGTTTACCAGGGCTGAAATTGTCTATACCTACAGATTCTGGCATATATAATGGCTTTGGCAATCCCACAGAAAGTGATTATATTTCAGTCAGTATGGCCGATGCCTTGTAATTACATAGTTACATAGTATTTGAGGTTGAATAAAGACATAAGTCCATCAAGTCCAACCTATTGCGTGTATGCATTTATGTTCGAGCTGGTGTGTGCGTGTCTATGGGTCTATGTGTGATTTTGCTCATGTGTGATTATGTTATGGTTTCCAAGAAACTCGTCCAGTAGTTTCTTAAATGATTCCACACTCTTAGCTGAAATCACGTCCTGCGACAGCGAGTTCCAGACCCTAACCCCTCTAACTGTGAACTTGTGAATTCCGATAATTGTTGTTATAAGCATGAGACCAATGCCACAACATGAGGTACTCATCTTTGCTTATAACCTACATGCATCCAATAACACAGCATGCAATTTTAAGACAATGACCCTTCCTTTCATAGAAAAAATACATTTTTTAATAGTAAGATTAAAATAATAGGTCCAAAAATTCAGATTCCTGCAAAAGTTCAAGTGTGATTTGTTCTATCCAGGACCACTGGGAGACATGTTCCGTCAGTGCTGACCCACAAATGGCACCTAGCACACATTTTATCATCATAATTATTTTTTTTGTACACGTTATTAAAAGCACAGTGACCTCCAGTTTTTCCCTATATTTTTATCTCTTACATCAACAGGAAAGGTCAGGGGGTTATAAACAATTGTTTTCCATGTGCCCCTTCAACACCACAACACAGATATTAAGTGTGGTCTAAAAAATGCAGACATGCTGCATTCTTCCACAGTGCATTAAAAGAAAAGGTAAACAATGAGATGCACTGAAACAGCCCCTCACCCAACACACTAGCCCACACACTACAACTGAGTGTAGCGGCAGACTCTGTTATATAAATAATTGTAATTGTTAAAAGCAAGACTGAAAGACATAACCAATTAGGCTGGTTGATAGACTGATTGGTAAGTTTTAATATTTTATTTATTTTTTTATAGAACACATACACCCACATGCACAACAGCCATGTCTTTGACAGTCATTCTCAGGAAGAGACAATTCTGTAAAGAGGATACAGAACTCGGCTGCTCCTCTTAGAACAAACCTCATTGCTGAGGAAAGCACTCCACTCACATTCAGTCATTTGCACCATCTAATACTTTGCTGAGTGTACAGCGAGAGACAAGTATGGCAGATTGCTGGGTACTGGAACTCTGCATATAGTTCCTGAAAGGAAGTAGCATTCACAGGCGCACACATGACAGTAATGTACCAGAGGACCTGCACACCCTTGTCAATATAGCAATAACAAGAAAATTCAATTATGAAACACATCTTCAATTAACGTAATACGGTGTTTGCGATGGAATGGTTACAGATGCCTGAGCAACCTCTAGGGGCCACTATCTTTTAATAATGGCATCAAATAAAAGGGTTTAGTGTTTTACCTGCTCCTGCCTCTCTAGCCACTTGTCCACCAGGGGGTGACTGGCACTCAGGGAAGAGCGGGCTTTATCTCTTTCAAACTGTTTAGACGAGTTACTGGTATCTCTGGGCAGACTCCTGTAGTTCTCATCTTTCTGTTTTAAAAGAAAGAAAAAACACATGATTAAACTATTCTGACACTATACACAGAGCACATACACTTTAGGGCAGGGATGGCCAAACTCCGGCCCTCCAGCTGTGGTGAAACTACAAATCCCATGAAGCATCTCTCCGGGAGCCATGTTTGTGGCTTTGAAAATCTTGCAAACCTCATGGGATTCGTAGTTCCACCACAGCTGGAGGACCACAGTTTGGCCATCCCTCCTCAAGGGAAACCACCCCCACCGTTTCTGCCTATGGAAAGATAGATGCATTAAAATGGACATGGAGTACATCACACTGAAAAATTAGATGCATTAAAATGGACATGGAGTACATCACACTGAAAAATTAACTGACTCTAATACAGGCCTTTTCTTACATCCGTTAAAAAAAGAAGGTCATAGATCTCTCTATTATAATAATGATATATTTGTAAACCAAAAATAGCTTTCCATACAGTGGTACCTCGGTTCGCGAACTTAATTCGTTCCACGATTCTAGTCGTGGACCGAATTGGTCGCAAAACTAATCAAACTGTGATCAGACCATGATCCCGACTAGAGGAAGCCACGACCACACCTCAGAGCAGGGAAGATGGCTGTGGTTGTGTTCGTCACCCCATGCGGAGTTCGCGAACGGAAGCAAAATTTTGCCGAACTTCCTGTTCATGAACCGAATTGTTCCCGAACAGAAGAGTTTGTGAACCAAGGTACCACTGTACTTTAAAATCCCATTACAAAGTGCGTGTAAATATATACAGTATATAAACTATTGCTCACTTTTTTGACAAACAAATAACCAGAGTATAGTATACGACACAAAAAAAAACTCCCTGGCACTTGGTGGAGATACATACAGCTGAAAGCTCAGACAAGTGTTAGCCAACCTGTACGCTCCTCATGCCTGCCAAGTGCTCCCGACAATGGAGCTGGAAGAGTGTATTAGACAAAACTGACCAGTGTGGTAACCCCGAACAGATGAGTACCAAGAGCTCAGTTTATACAAGCAATAAAGTAAGTGTGGAGTGCATCATCTGTCCATGCTAACACTACAATTCTAGCACTTCTGTCTGAGCACCAGACGTAGGAAGGCTGACATTAATACCACATTCAGGTCTACATTGCTATTAAGGGTCTATGTAATAGGTGTGTGGGTGGACCAGGGGAGTGCTTAAAATGGCATAGCTTTTACATTTCAGGACTCCTACACATGGGCCTTGTGCATTTAATAAAGGAGAAATTGATATTGGGAAGTATAAACAAACTTTTACTTCCCAGATGAAGTTTTATATGCCTTTAGCTGCATAAACCCAGGCTAAAGAATGAACAGAAAGAATGAATGCACCTAGACGTTGCTGAACATCTAGTGGGTATTCAGCAATAGAAAAGCACTACATGCTTCCACGTGTATTTAGAAATTAGAACCAAATTCATTTGGATGCATTTATTTTGACAAATGTGGACATGACACCTTAAAACAATGAAAGGCTAAATGATATCACTATCATTTAATATAAAGCAAAGTATGAAACCACTGATGTTTTGCCCTGTTCTTGTTTTCTGTACAATTCTAAAAAGATTGTACAAAATGTTTTAAAACTGCGTTCAGCAACAATTACGTGTAAAGTGCTGTATCTAAACACTGAATGCTGAACTGGAAAAAGGCCACGAAGAATTGATGGGACATTTACAGAAGGAGAGCAGGACGCGTAGGATCCAAAACACAGTGCTCATCAGAACCATGCTTAAGCTGAATAGTTCCTTTTAGACCACCTCATCATAACCCTGACTGGTTGAACCATTGTAACAATCAGAAAACGTGTCATATTGGCACCTTTAGATATCAGAAATTGTTTAAAATGTAAAATACTGTAATCAATACTGAAAAAAGCGATAGCTTAGCAAGGTATGAAATATGAGAGAGCCTCTAGACTTGGCATATCTGCAAATAGAGAACAATCCAGGACTGAGCTATCATACATGCAGGGGGAACCCTGTATGGTACCACCAGTCTGAAGCTTATTGCTTGAATTTACCGACAGTCACATCCACCCACTAAGTAGAAAGTCAGCCGCTGGTCTGTGTGATCGTAGTGCAGAGCTGCCACTTAGATCAGGAGCAGCATATAAGTGGGAGACTTAACACATCTGCCCAGCTGGGTGTTACTGCTGCCTGGAATAACACAACAATGAAGGAACAATTTTCACATTCATATAGTCACACTGGTTTCCTGGCTACTTCGAAATCAATGCTTGCAGCATCAACAATCAGCTGGTCATGTCACACATAAGCACACAGTACATAGTTTATATGAAAATGCAAACCTCTCAAACATCTCTAGAGCTAAAAGATGAAGGTTCACATTCTGCAGCTGCAATACTGTCCCTGCAGCGTTCCCCCTACTAATGTTTACATTCTTCCTGCATGTGAATGGGCAAGCCAGTTCAGACAGTGTTTTGCTGCCTTTCATCCTTTAGGTTTCTGAACACAAATTAGCATAAATTATTATATTATTGTTATACATGATTTAAATAGCGCCAACAGTTTGTGCAGCACTTTACAATAAGTAGGATTGTTCTAATATGGGGTTTTCACTTCTTTAGAAGGGATCATAGCAGTGGACAGAGTTAGACAGAACAGCCAACAATACATAACACACGTAACACAAAGTTGAATAAATGGTAGATCTGGCACTATTGCAATGCTGGTAGTCAAATATGCGTTGGAATTCCACTCCAAAGAGCTCCATTACTATTTCTACACCATAACAATGCAATCTAAGAATAACCCATTGTATTAAAAATAAGGCGGCTCCATGCCTTTAAAAAGCCAGAAGGAAAAAACTTTGTGCACATTTTATTTTTACAATATATCCCTCTAATGGACCTTGGCTAGTGTAAGAACAGGAGGGGGTCTTGCCTAACAGCCATGGACATGAAGCTGTGGA